ATTGATGTGGAGTTTGGGGGAATCGGGGAATGGGGATTGGTTCCACCTCCTCACCGTGCCACAGCCCTTGGGGTGATGTATACTATTGGGAGTCAATGTACTCACATGAACACAGGAACTATAATGGTGACAGCCCCTGCATGGATGGGATGCACAGGGGGGAAAGCCTGCTTGCATCCATTTCTCTCCCCTCCCCACCCCCCCGCACTCTCTTTTCTTGGTGCCCATCATCATACTATTTAAATGATTCCATGCACTCACACAAAGGTCTGGTCTTTACGATTTTATGAGAAACGACAAATTTGACTCAGGGTGAGATTTTGCAAATGCTGTTGAAGACATTGCTTTTCATGTGGCACTGTGTTATTCTATAGTGGAACATATCCGAAATTGTCACACAAGTGCAGGAGGTGAAATCATCTTTTTACAGCAAAATCAGCTTAGCACAGTGAAATGACAGCTTTTCCCCTATAAAAGTTGCCTTTCATTTGTGTGGAAACCAGTGAATTACTCAAGGCAAACCATGTCAGTAGCACAAATTGTGTCAGCAGCACAATTGTTTTTAATGTAGCACAGCCAGACGGGGGGATGGAGCAGAATGGAAATTGGAGGGATGACACTATTGGGTGGATGAGCCTCAGAGTTCAGATAATCCCCACAAGGTTTTGGGTGCCTTTCTAAAGTGTTTCTGGATTTCTTAGCGTTAGCCTCTTTTCCCTCCTCCCTCTTTTCCAAATTGCATCTTTCTTCTCAGCCAAGCCAGAGCCTTCTACTTTCCTTGATACCAAACTTTCATCCCAGGCTCTTCAACTCCCAGCATCTTCTCTTAACTCCTTACAGCACCCCCAGCCCACCATCTCCCTCCCTCTGTCCCTAACTGACCTTCCAGTTGCCTTTGTATGGTGATAGTTCACTGGAAGGAATGCTGTGGCTCTAGGTATAAATGTAGGTAGAGTGTTCTCACTTGCTTTAGTTTTACATGTGTTCATTATGTAAGGGCCTTTCAAAGCTGCCCCTCGACGCTGTGTTTCGGTGAACAGGATGATCAGTGCTGCTGCTGTTGTTTTCTAGCCCCCTGCTGGAACGTGCACCATGCTGTGCAGGGTACCAAAGCAACTACCCAACATCTTTCATGTGGGAGAACTATTCTGTAAAGTTAATAGTTCTGACTTGCATAGAATTGGAAGGAAGATACATTTTACTCTGATTTTGTGCTCATTTTTTGGAGTGGATAGAAACCACAATGGAGAGAGAGGGTTTGTTTCAGGCCAGTCTCATCTTCTGGCTAGCTGCCCTGAGCCAAAGCTTGTGTACGATATCTGTCACAGGTCGACACTGGCACTTAAAGAGGAAGTAGGGCCAGGGCACCTGTGCCTTAGCAGCACACTCCAATTTGGCCAATTAATCGGGCTTAAAAGAGAAAACCTGGGTCTCATGGAGAGGAGCTCCAATGAGTCGGGACTGCCTGGGAGAAGGCGATTGTGTAAGTGATGAGAGCTGGCAGAGACTGTGCTTGGGTTCTGGGAGAAGGCTAAAGGCTGGAGAGTAGTAAATAGGGTTTGCAGGCTGCTGTCCTCAAGCCAGAGATGGAGGCTACTCCAGGGAGCAGCAGAGGGAGTTTCCTGCTAGCTCTAAGCTGGAGAGCTAGAGCTAAGGGCCAGAGAGGCTGCAGACTGCCATGAGTGCAGGGAACGGGACTAGATGACCTCTCAAGATCCCTTCCAGAACTAAAATTCTATGATTTTATGAAGTTATTGGATTACCTGTGAGGGGAAACTGAGAGAGGGTGACACAGCACCACCCCGGCTATGAAAGGGGTGCTCAGGAGGCGGTTGGCCCTGTTACACTAACACTTTCCCAGGATACAGCACCCTAGAATATAATTTTCCCACCAGCCACAAATACAATCCTCCCCTCCCACAGGCCCTTGGGAAAGCAAGGGCCTATGGAGTCTCCAAAATAGACTTCCACAAATATCAGTTGGGAATCAGAGAAAGTTACTCAAACTCCTTCACCCTTAAAGTGACTCAAGATTGGTTCAAGTTTTGGATGAATGGGCTTACTCATCTTTAGATGGTACCAGAGCTAGAGATGGGGTGCCTGGCCTGGGAATCCAGAACAGGAAAATGGTGGCTTGCTGTGGATGAAAGGGCAACAGTAAATGAAAATGTAAACATGCTCTATCATTCATACATTTGTGGGTTTAGCCACATGTATATGTGTGTGCGTTTAAACAGAGAAAGAAATGTGTTGTGTGTAAATATCTGTTATGTTCTCTCTAGTAGGGCTGGTCGTGAATACGTCAAGTTTTTCTTCAACCTGCATCTTAGTCCAATAACCAGTTTTCTAACCACACACATCTCTCTTCCCTCACCTAAATTCTTATGTTCTGAAGCTTTCATGTTGGTCAAATAAAAAGTATCAGCACCTCATCTACTTGTTTGCATTGAGAACCAATTTTTTTTTCACTTTAAATACCGTTGAGAGCTCTCTTTATGAGCTTCAATTAGGATTTTGCTATGGAGGGCTTATTAGAGTATTTTATTGGTACTTTAACACATTTTCTTTGTTAAAAGGTAGTTTAGAAGCTAGTTTAAGAAGCTTGTAAATGAGAGCTGCAGTGAGCTGTCTAGCACTGACAAACTCCTATCAACAGGCCTCTCAAAGGCTTTCTGAAACTCACCTGAGACTTGACCGTCATGATGAAACTGAGCTCCTGCTGGACTCTCCAGGAAGGGTGATTCTAAAGAAAACATTAGGGGATAAATATTAGCTGGACTATTTTTGGAATATTTGCCCTGAACAGAAGAGATTTAAGGCCGGCAGAAACTTTAATTTTGATCTGATCTAAATATTTATATGGCATCCAATTACTGTGATATCCAGGGGGCTGAACATAGGAATCCAGCTGAGCTGATGAAGTGGAAAAAAGAGATATTACTTTGATCAGTATCATGGGATAACAGCAGCAGCCATAGAAGTCGGCCAAAATTAGGAGTGCAACAACTCTTCTGATAAAGAGACCCTGTTGGCTGTAGAAACAATCCCCAGATAATGGTAAGAGACCAATGCCTGAGAAGTCCAACACTCAGACAGACTGTGGACAGGAGGTGGCATCTGAAGAGGATCTGAGGAGATGATGTCCCCTTTCAGTCAGGTGGGTTGCTGAGGCAAGGTTTTTTTTTTTTTTTTAAAATGTTCACTTAAACAAGTGCACAGGGCATTTTTAACCTTTGATTTCATGGTTTCTTTCCTCTTCCTATTTTTTCCAGTAAAAATCTGATATTTTTTTAAAAACAACTGGAACTGAATACTTTTAGCTGGGGACAATTACTGGTAGGAAACGGCGCTTTCCTCAGGGAAAATAAACACAGAAGGGAGCCCAAGTACAAGGTCAATGGTTATGGTGGCTGGTGAGAGCCAGTGTGCACCTGGAGAGAACAGGCCATCCTGAAAGGTACAAGGCCCAGTTAGAGTGTGAGATCAAGCCCTCATTGTGAATACCATTTCATATCCCAGCAGTCTGTCTGGCTCTTCCCAGGTTCCTCCTTTCGGACAAAAGGCGGAGGGTAGGGTAGGGGAACCTGGACCCTCCCTTTCCACCATTCACAGCCCAGGGGGAAGGGGTGAGGCGTGTCCCAGTCCCCTCTAGCTGATACACCACACCAACCTCTCCTGGGTCACTTCCTATCTTCCCTTTGTTCTCCTCAGTTTGGGGCATGGCCAGGGCGCCCTGCTCTGTTCCAGCAGAGAGCTGCTCAGACAGGCTCAGTCATGCACACAGTCAGTAGGGACTTCCCAGCTCCCTTCTCACTGTCCATTGATTCCACCTTGTCAGGGAGAATGGGGGAGAAAGAGGGGCCGGGTCAGGCCCCTGGCTGTCTAGTTGGACCTTCCCCACAGTCCAGGTCCTTCCCCTGTCGATTCCTCTGTTCCAGAAGCTATTAATTGGCTTCCTTCCTGCAGACAGCTTCTCTTTCACTCTCCCACTGCCAGAGTCCCCTTCTAAGCAGGTCCTCCATTTGGAGCATGCTCTGCAGCTGCTGTGGAGAGGGGGTCTTCTTGGCCCAGTATTGCTCCATCACTCCCTTAATCTTAAGGAGGGGTCTGTAAATCCCATCTCACACACACCCTTTGAAAGCTTGTTTGTGGCACTCCTGGTTTCCTGACTTGCCAGTACTATCCCCATGGCAGACCCCAGCATTCTCTGGTGGTGGCCTTGCCCACAGATCCAAACTTTGTGGTCCTTGGAACCCTCTCCCAGTCAGATTCTTGGATTCTGCTCTGATATGCCCTTGCAATTTGGTGCTTATCACTTGAGTTTGTGTCACTAACAGCATGCTGCTATACTGGAAGGAAGAAGAGTGACTTCATCAATGCAAGGGACTGGGGTATTTGTCAATCTGACTTGTGATCTTGAGCAAATCATTTAACTTTCCTATCCCCTGGTGGTCCAGGATTGCTAACATGAGGATTCCTCAGGATCTAAGAAGTGAAAAATCAACAAGTGTAAATGCTTCAGAAACAGAAGTTGGAATGTTTGTTATTCAAGCCTAAATTGCCCATTATTCTGCTAGGGCACGTTTCACTACAAAACCATTTGGCATTACTGGATGAAACAGTAGATGTCCTCTTGCATTTGACCTTATGCACTAAAGTATAAACCCTTATTTCTTTTGCTTGGTTAATTAATTAATGAGATTAGCTATTAGATAAATAACTTATCCTCACGGTCAGCCCACTTGCCCAAATGTCCAGCTCTAGCTTGATGGAATGTAACATACAGGGTATGCTTTATTTAATATTGGAAGTGACTAGGACACTGTCAAAATATTACCCAGAGTGAAACATTCCAATCAAGCAAAAAGAAATGCTTGCTGCCTAGTTAATCATTTCCTATATAACTGCAAAGGGCTCAGAGGAGGTAAAGAACAATAGCACAATGAAATGTATTTGAACAGCTGACTGTACGCAAGAACTCAGAGGGCCTGTCTGTGTATGAGAAATTTTCTAGAACCAGTTCAGCTAAACCAGCCCCAAAACTGGGTGGAGCCATAGTGGAGACCCAATTTAAGGCAGGCTGACCCATTTTTACTGGTTTCAAGACTATATCAGGATGAAATGCTTTTAAAACTGGTGAGAAAATGTCTCCTAGCCCTACAGGAACACATACAGAATATATAAACAAGTCCTTATGGGCCGCATTTATGTTTTTCTATGAAAAGGTAAGTACGTGAATAAATATTTTTCAGTCAATTCCACAGACTTTTTTCTCTATCCTGCTCTTCTCTTTTGGCCATATTCTATGTTTCCTAAATCTACAGTACATCACTCATAAAGACTTAATAGTGAAAACTGTCCACAGTTTATCTAAGGATCAAACAGCTGTTGTCTTCACAGGTCTTTCTTTTACTAATATGAATTAATGTTTTCCAGTGTAGTTTTCTACATTTCTGCTGGGGAGGCTAACCCTTCCCAGAGGCATTCTTTGGCAGATAGCAAAATAATTAGAGTAGCAGATATATATATATATATATATATTTTTTTTTTCTTTCCTCCTGGATAGATTACAGATTGGATATTGGCTAAAAGTGGATGAACACAGTAAGTATTTTAATCTTGCAATGATTTCATGTACTTATATACTACAGCTGGGCATGCTTTCCAAGCTATGAGCTACATCCTTAAGTTCTTAAATTATCTCCAATTGCAGCATATACTGTGTGGCCCAGTCCTACTATAATGGGAGAGGGAGTGGGCTGTAGTGGTTCCATTTCAGTGTCACTATAGAAATTTCTAAGCACTAGATACTTGTCTTAACGGTGTTTTTCAGCTGGAAAGCTTTGGAGATCTCAATGTACAGGACATATTCAAGCCCAGCAACTGCTGCACTTGGTTGTTTTTGATAAGGGACAACGGGGCATGTTGGATGAAATTCACACACAAACCTATCATAAAGCCTAAGTAAATGGGCTTTGAATGGGGAACTCTGAAGGGGTTTGCTGAGAGATATAATACACCCTACAACCTGTAGGGGGAATGGGGCAGCTCCACATTCCTCCATGGTTGTTTGTAGCAAGGGATAACACCTGTAAGCCTTTGCACTTCCACTATAGACCTGTTCCTCCCACCCCAACACTACTCCACATTGCCCTACTCCTTCACATGTAAGAGGTGGCAACTGCCGTTTGCACACAAAATAAGAAGTTCATTTCCATATGTTCCCCACCCTCCAAGTGTTCAGCTACTCCCAGGGCCAGAGCTAGACTTCTTCCTTTTGGTCTTGTAAAGTGGGCCTGCAGTCAGAGGTGCCGCCTGATGCCTTTTACATGCTGCAATATTATCTTGGCTCCTCAGATCACTCCCCAAAAGAGCCTGGAATCCTGTTAATGAGGGCAGGCAGATTTATTCATGTTAATGTCAGCCCCTACATGTGCCTCAGAGACTTTTACTGCTTAATTCAGCTGGTCCTGGCCCCTTTGATTCGAGCCTGGGCGGGATGTCAGGCTATAGCAGTAACTTTAACAGTTCATGACTTGCTGCCTCTACTTTTATGTCTTTTACAGATACCAGTGGAGTCTTTTCTTCAAGCAGGAGCTGAAATCCTCCATGTCTCATGCCTCTGGGAATGATTCCTGCTGCTCGGAAAGAAAGCAAAGATGACAATGTGACTGGGGACCCACAACTCCACCTACTACTTCCACACGAATGCTCGATACAATCATCTGTCTTATGAACAGCAAAAGTTTTTCCAGAAGTGGGTGGTGTTTGTTTTGTTTTTTGGTATTATAAGGTTCTTCAGAGTCTGTGTGTGGTTCTCCTGCCCAAGAACTATCCTCCTTTCATGCTCTCTTTATCAGGATTTACTGTGTGATGAGGGCAGGGCCAAAACCACACGCCATTTTGAAGTAGCTAATTCCTCAGTCTGTTTCAAGATTTGAGGCTTGCTTGCTGGTCTTGGACACACTCTATTTTTCCTTCTGTTCTGAGGATTAGTTTTTAGTGAACACCTGTATCTAAAACCTATTTGAATATTTAACTATATTATAATGCAATCTGTACTTATCAGACTTTCCTTTGCATTCTTTACTTTTGCAGTGATAATTGCCATAATTAAGCAGGGGTAGATAAATAATTACCCTAGTGTTAATACTTGGATATCAAAGAAAGCAATCTCCTCCACATAATGCCCTGTCCTCAGATCTCACATCTGGAAATATGAGTGCAATTAGACGTTGTTTGATTTTTTGTTTTTGTTCATTGTTTGTTCATAACCTGTATTAAGGACTGATCCAAAGCACACTTGGAGTCAATGGAAAGATTCCCATTGACTTCAGTAGGCAGTGGATCAAGCCCTTGTTGTACATCTGTTTTCTTGTTCCATAATAAAAGCTTTAATCAGCGATAGAACAGTTTGGAATGCTTCTGGGAGAGCCTGGGTGTGGTACTCAAGGACTGTGCTGATCACTGTCTTGCTCCTGACTGAAGGTTGACCTGAGGGCCCTACAGAGCTAAAGCCAGGGACCGCTCCAACATGAACTAAAGGTTCAAGTCCCGTAGCGAGCAGCTGGAACAGATTCATAGCCTTTGTGACTTGAAGACAGAAGCAGGGATGCATAACACACAGTGAACAGTGGGTTGCACTATGATACAGTAAATTACTTGTACTTCATCTTGGAGTGATTTATTGAAATCACTCTCACTTTTTCTCCCTCAATTCCACATCCTTTCTTTGAATTGCCACATCTTTTTGCTCTATTTTTCTATCCTCTCCCTGATTATTTTCCTTCAGAATTGCTCTTCTGAAACTAGGTCACCAGGTGGGTATTTGATTTTGCAGGAGATCTAGCATCTCACACTGGCCTTAGGAGAGCTGAGTTCTGAAAGTCTCCTCCTTGAGGCCTTTCTCTTTGCAGTGAACTACTGGGCAGGTTTCCCCCTGTATCTTTAATCAGGTTTCAAGACATTATAAAACATATAAAAATTCCTTTTGTCTCAACCACATACCTTAACAGTAAGAGATGTATCCTTAAATATTTCCTTAGGAAAAATTAATGAAGTGAATTAAAAGAAAAATTCTTTCAAGCCATTCCAAACAAACTCCTTTCACAGCCTTTTATCACGACTTCCTTGCCAGGTGGGAAATTTATTTAAGTTATTAAAAAAAATTCCCTAAAATTCTCAGCTGAAAAGTTGGCTTCTGTGTTTTCTACAAAGCTAACTCACCTGATTTGTCAGAACAGCTTGAAAATGAAGTGCTAACTGGTGGGTTTTATTGAAAGGAAACCAAGTGGAACAACATATGTATTTTCTTAGGAAACTAAAAAGCTCACAGTCCCATGGTGTTCCTTAGGGTAAATTCTTTGTTATGAATTACAACCTGCTTACTGATGAGTTGTTAATAAAAAGTAGACCTGCTGGGCCATTATTTTTTCCACACAGTACACCCAGTTTAGTTTTTTAAAAGTTTTCATTAATGCACAGAGTGTGAATAAATCTGTTTCCAATTTGTAATTGTTTTCCCTTCATCTGGACATTAATTTATTGCCAAATCTAACCCTCTTCTATTTTTAATATCCCCCCAAACTGACTAGAAAGAGTGAGAAAGATTAAAACATTGCAGGATAGTAGGAATGATCTGTCTTTCCCCCCCCTTAAATATCATCCAAGTGTCTGGGATCATGAGAAAGGGGCACCAGAACTCATATGGGGGCCCCACCATGTTTGGCTTTAAGAGCTGCCAGCTGGACTTGTATGTACTTGACAACATGGTCTGAAGGAAACAGTTGAGTAAAAGTAAAAACAGATGGTAACCTAAGGTGGCAGTACAACTTTATTTAACACAGTGGTTTATTTATTTATTTGTTTGTTTATTTTTTAAGCAAGCATCCGTTCATGGTGGGGAGTCTCCACAGTCACTCATTAATGCACTGTAATCTAGTGAATAGCACATCCTATTTGCCACAGAAATGTAGGCGATTAAGCTCAGTGCAGTCTAATATGAACGTATTTCACCAGACGTTAACAAGTGGCTCTCTTGGTTATTTAATACAGAAAATATAGGCATGTGGCTATTGGATGTTGTTTTCCTCCTAGTATGGCTGTAAATTAAGGATGCAAGGCTGGCCCTTCATAATATGACTAGGAGACACTGGTGTATCACATTATGAAAAACTATTAATATCAAAGTGTAAAGCTGTAACTCCTTTAACAGGGCTGTCTGCTAGGAGAGGCAGATTCCAGGGATGAGGAAAAGGAGAGGGAGGTTCCCAGGGTCTTTTTAGAGAGAGGGGCTGTTGGAGGTGGCAAAACTCCCCATAACCATCAAGAGCAGGAGGGGTCGGGGTGGGGGAACTGAACCTGGATAAAATAAAAGCAGCTGTTTCTAGTTCACTGAAACAGCGTGAACTGAACTCAGCGGCTTTTGCACCATCCTCCTTCGCCTGGTATTGTCTGACACGGTGGACACCCCAAAACGAGAAACAGCTTCCTCAGACACTTATTTTTTGTTTTTTACAATGACGTGATTTGAAATTGGAGTGAATGTTTCAGCAGCCCGGAACTACCAAGTGTCCGAATGCCTCCCACACTGATGACAGAGTGTACGAGCGGGTACTTGTTTTGTCAAATTGCATGTTTTCCCCCACTTTTTAGTTTTTTGGTTTACTTCTCTTAGATTTCTCCTTTAACAAGGTATAACTAAGAGCCACAGGGTGACGGCTGAAGCACCTGCCATATGTGAATTCCCTGCTTGTTATGAGTGCTTGAAAAAACACTATGGCTGGCCCGTGCAGTGAGGCACAGTCTGTAGTGAAGGGTGGCATGGAGCTGCACTGCCCCACAGGGGCACTGGGAACCTTCCAGGACTCCTGCCTGTGCAGAGGTACAGCCCCCACCCCTTCTCATGTGGCCTGCTAGCTGTAAAGCAGGGGAAATTTATCTACCTTGAATTCTGCTTCTTTCTCTGAAGATAGCACTTAGGATTCCCACTCTTTGACCCACCTCCCCTCAGAGTTTGGGGTTCTCTGTTCCTAAGTGACTAGTTACATCCAGCGTCAGAGCTGTCCCTTGGGTAGGGCAAATTGGGGTGACCGCTCCAGGCCCTGCGCTTTGGGGGCCCCCGAGGGCCTGTGCAATTGGCCAATGCGGTCAGTCCCAGAAGACATAGGCATGGGAACTAGCGGTGCAGGGGGTGCTGCAGCACCCCCAGGCTCCTGGCTGCTGGCCCCTCGCCCAGGGCTCTGCTGCTGCCCCATACCCAAGGTCCTGGCTGCCACCCCGCATGCCGGGGGCTCTGCCCAGCCACTGATGCAGGGTGGGGCCCCCAAACTGGTGGAGGCTGATTTGTCCTGGGCCCTGCACCCCCATAGGGATGGCCCTGTCCAGAGTGTACAGTAGTTGTATGAGAGGGGTGAAGCAATGGGCCTCTGTCCCATTTAGGGAATGATGGTCACGATCTTAAATATCTTTGAAGTATCTAACTCCCATTGATTTCAATGGGAGTTAGTTGCTTACCTACCTTTGAGAATCTGAGCCTGGGTGCCCCCAGGGGAGAAAAGCGGAAGAAGACCTCACACTTTTCTGAGCATAGGGACTGAAATTGTGCCTGCCCAGAACGTCAGCTGTGTAAAGCAGCAACTTCTTGAACCCTCCCTCCAGCTATGCACTTGCATAAAGCCTGGGCAGAATCTGACCCTCAGCCAGTACTTCCGTTGTTTTATTATGCACTGAACTTATTATTCAGATAGATGGATGTAGCAAAATGTATCTCTATATGTACCACAATTGCAGTGCAACAATGCACCTGTCTTTTGGGTATGTCTATACTGCAGTTAAAACCCTGCGGCTGGCCTGGGCCAGCTGATTCAAGCTTGTGAGTCTCACTCTAAGTGGGGTGTTTCATTGCAGTGTAGACTTTCAGGCTCGGGATAGAACCTGGGGTTTAGGATCCTGTGAGATGGGAGGGTCCCAGAGCTTTGGCAGTAGCCTGAGCCCGAACGTCTACACTGCAATTAAAGAGCCCGGTGTGCCTAAGTCAGCTGGCACACGTCAGCCGCAGGTGTCTAATTGCAGTGTAGACATACCCTTAGTCAGCACTTTTGCAATGGGGTGGAGAAGGGACTGTGTTAACCCTCAAACTTCTGGCATTGACTTCAAATTCTTCCCAACGTATTGTGCAGGATTTATAGACTGTATCATACAAGATGAAGGGAAAGAAAAAGAATGCTTACAAACCACGTAACTCTACGTTGGTCCCCAGAAGTGGTGACTGTGTTCGTTTTGATTAATTTTTAGGGACAGTTCCAGCTCTCCAAACCCTGGGGTGGGGTGTAAAGCCCAAGCATTCGTCTCTGACTAACTTCTTACAGTTTCTCTCTTGTCTTCTTTGCTTTTGACAGTGACTTGCTGTAAGCTGCTTCTACTTTCTGAAAGATGTCCGTGGTCTCACTGTGCATGTTGGGCCGTTTGGCGAGCTAGAGAGACTGATGCTGACCCATTTTATATCACAACTTTTTTTTTTAAAACCACAGTTAATTCTTCCTTTTTGCCCTGGGTTATAGGACCTATGTCCAGAAACGATAGGAGCCTAGCACCTTCCCATATGATCGCTTTCTTTGTTTTAGCTGCTTGTAAAAACCTATCCCGGTCCCTGGACTCCTAAAGTGTAATACATATAGTGCCTCCAGAATTGCCTCCTCCAGCTGGGACTCTCATTGGGGATTCAGAATGCACATTCAGTTCAAATGGGCTCTTCAGAAATAATCAATAACTAACATGTCTGGCAACAGTTTACTGCACGCTATCTGTGACCAGCTCCCGAACAGGACTCTCCAATCACTGACAGTCTGTTCAGCTGGTGGCTTTCCAAGGTTTCCAGCCATCTCGCTGTTGCTGCGTAATTTTGTATGTGTGTTAAGTCTGTAATCTAACTGTCCTTGTCCATAGATATCCTCCTGCTTCACTGCTTTCATTGCGTGCCCCAGGCAGTTTTCAACTCTCACAATGTGGCTCTTGGTGTTACTGAGTCATGTCACTACTTCTTCCTCTTTAGTGTCCTGGAAAGCCACCAGTGACTGTCATCTAGCAGGGTTTTGGTGAGTGCTGTACACACTCTTTTATCATATTATCATGCTTAGGGAGCTGAATGGAGGGCTCAACAATCCTGGCTGGGGAAATAGCAACTACTGTGTGGGTTGCATTCCAGAAGCATGTAGTGTAAGCAGAAGAGGGAAAAGGCATTTTAAACACTATTCTCAGGTCCATGCATCTTATCAGGCTCATCCCAATGCAGTAGTCCAGATTCCCTTGGACAGCTAGCAGGAAACAATGCTGTCAGCTCTGGAACTCTAGTGAAATGGACTTTCCTTCTCTGTTTGCAAGCGAGCTCTTCCCCTGAATCACTTCCTCTTGCTATTAATTAGGGAATCTCTGTTTGGACAACTTGGTTTGAGGAAGATTCAACTTTTACTGCAGCTGTTTGAAGCAGATTTGTTAAACTAAGTATGGAGCCAGATGTTTACCTGTTATCAATTTGTAGCACCATGGGTGTACACAGCACTTTATTAACACACAAAAAGACAACTAGAGCTCTGTTGGTGTTGACATGCCCCCCTCATCTCCTTACAAACATTAATTCATCTTAACATCCAAGGATACTAATATCCCCATTTTACAGACTTGAGGAACTGAAGCAGTTGGAGTTTCAGCTGTGCTGTATGTCTGCAGTTTTGATTGACCTCAGCAGGATTTGTGAGGTGTTTAGCACTTCTAGAAAATCAAGCCTTAAGTGACTTGATTAGGGTCAGACAGGAAGTCTGTGAGGAAGAGCTGGTAATGGAATCTGGAGCTCCGTCCAATGTCTTAACTACAGGACCATCTTTCCTCTTTGGAAGTATCCTCTAACAAAGGCTTTTTGATGTTCAGATGTGTCTGTGTTCAGTTATTCACCTTTCAGAAGCTGCCTTCTGAATTACAGCTAAAGAGAACTTTTCAGTCTGTGGCCAGCAGGAGGCATTTGCTTTGTGTGTTGACCTGTCATATTCTTTGCTTACTCAGAGCTCCTGCTATGTGAGTAGGAAATCGGTTAACAGCCTACCTGTCGGCTCATTGCTAGCAGCACAGGGGAGAATTAGTTTAGCTGGATTTTGTTTTACAATTTCACTCACCTCT